AATTCAGAGGCAATCGTGTGATAAATCTGAGCAAATTGGTGAACCCGGACTGGTATCATATGGTGGGCGCCTCCCCCACGTGGTCTATAGCTCCCAAACACGGCTACACGAGTCGGGTATACGACGCCCTTAAGAAAGCCTCCAAAAGCAATCACTTCACCGTCTACTGGAAGGATGACATACCGGAGCACTTCCATTACAAACACAATCGACGGGTATTACCGATATTTCTGATGGCCGATGAGGGCTGGGATGTGTTCAAAGAGGGCAAGAAGTGGAGGCCGAAGGGCTATCCCGTGTGGGGTAATCACGGGTGGGATAACACTCTGCCGTCAATGAGACCCCTATTTGTGGCGAAAGGACCGGCGTTTAAGTCGAGATATGTGCACAGCCGGGTGTTTCTCAATACCGATCTGTTTCCACTTATGTTACAGATATTAGGACTTCCCTCTAAGCAGTTCCCAAGTGATGGTTCACTCGATAGTGTTGTCGATTTGTTGGCTAATCATTGATTCAAATGATAATGTTTCTCAATACAGATCTGTTTCCACTTATGTTACAGATATTAGGACTTCCCTCTAAGCAGTTCCCAAGTGATGGTTCACTCGATAGTGTTGTCGATTTGTTGGCTAATCATCGATTCAAATGATAATTCGTTATTAAATATAGTTTTTAAATTGTATTTTATTATATGTACTAAATACTGGTACTCAGTATATATAATAGGTAAAAATTTAATTTAATTTAAACATGTAATGAGATAAATAAAATTTTCAACTAATGCAATTTTATTCTAAAAGTGTTACTATTTTTTTATCAAAATAGTTATCTAGTTGAAATTTAATTGGTCTAACAATTAATAATATAAAAATAATCTCGATAGTTTTGTAAACCAATACAAGTTTAATTTAGTTATACAAACTAATAAATTAAATATGAGACCAGTTAAAACCTATGGACTTTTATGGACTTATTCCCATTAAACATTAGTTATGAACTGTAATTCAATATAGATAAAACATACTAGTTAATTAAAAGGAAAATAAATTTATTTTTTAACGCCGGAAACAATATAATTTTAACATAATTTTAATGATTATTTTGAAGATTATAAATACGATTTGATTAAACTTTTATTAATCGCGAAATGTTGCATGATAATTGTCATTTGTGATGTAAAGTTAGTACCTTACATTTCAATAGGGATAATCATTGATAAATTGATCAGTGACGCAATTTTAAACGTAGGTTACACTTTAGATTCACCTAGGTTACAGTTGAAATTTTACTTATCAAAACTAAATATTGACACAGCACATATCTAGCACATATCAGTATATAAATGTTGTAGATATTCTAAGAAATTAACTAACCATTTTAAGAGTATTTGTATTACAGAGCTGTGTATAGCTAATTTATATAATAAATTAAAGTCATAATAAGTGAAAATGTATTATTTTCAAACATATACCAATATTGTTAAACTACAAGTGTTAGTATGTTTATTAAAACTAATAAATTGTGACCCAAATAGTAGTGAACCCATATTAATAGTCATTTCGTTTGATGGCTTTCGACACGATTATGTATCGCAAGAATCGACACCAAATCTATACAAATTGGCTGTGAATGGAGCGGGAGGTCAGTGAACACCGCATGAAAATTAATTGAAAATACAGTAGGAATTGCCTTTAATATTAGCAAAATATTTATTAGTTTAAAATTAAGACTTTAAAATGAGTATATTATAATGATGTACTTTTAAAATTTTGACGTATAATAATAAAACAGCTTTAATCACTCCGAAATATAAGCATTTGATTTGTATAAAAAACTACTGAATATTCTATTCATTCACAGTTACAGTTTATAAATTATAAAATAAAATTTTTAAAATGTTTTATATCAGTTGTATGATAAGTAAAATTACTTCATGTAATATAAATACCCAGGTCATATGATTTCAAACTTCGCGACCAAGACATTTCCCAATCACCAGTCAATAGCCACCGGTTTCTATGAGGAGAACCACGGAATCATTAACAATGAGTTCTTTGATCCCAAATATAACGATACCTTTGATATCGATAATTCACCCGATTATTGGTGGACTGAATGGTTGGGCACACCTGTTTGGGTATACCAATCTATAATCATTTTATAACACTTTTATGACCAAAATGTGTAATAAAAATCATATAAAATTAAAATCAATAGATTGTAAACCAATTGTACGGTCGTAGGAGTGGATCAATGCAATGGCCCAGTAGTCAAGTCGTGTATATGAATCAAACCGTTAGATACCATCAAAGCTATAACCCTGCGATGCCATGGGATACAAGAGTCGATACAATTATAGAGTGGATAACCCACAAAAGTGAACCGGCTAATTGTATTTTCTTATATTTCAATGAGCCGGACACTACTTCGCATATTTATGGACCTTTTAGTAACCAAACCAAAGGTCAGGTGCGAAGGGCTGATAATATAGTGGGATATTTGTTGCAAAGTTTGGATACAAAGAATTTGTTAAAGAAAACTAATTTAATAATACTATCAGACCATGGATTCGCTGAAATCAAGTATAATTTGCAACAAAAGTGGTGGTCAATTGTAAACTAAATTTAATAATTAATACTATTTTTAGGGAAAACCAAGAAATCAATTTAAATGACATAATAGATCCTAATATGTACGACATGTACGGCAATTCTCCAGATTGGCATATACTTCCTAAGCCCGGTCTTTTGGACAATGTCTATGAGATACTACTGAACGCATCGAAAACACTACCTTTTACTGTCTATAAAAAGGCTGACATCCCTGAGCGCTACCACTACAGCAAGAATCGCAGAATTCTACCCATTTTTCTCATAGCAGATGAGGGATGGCAAGTGCATCGGACGGCCAGTCCAGTGCCTTTAAAGGGTAATCACGGGTGGGATAACCGGTTGCCATCAATGAGGCCGCTGTTCATGGCGAGTGGACCGGCGTTTAAGCGTCGATATTATCACAACCGGGTGTTTCTCAATACAGATCTCTTTCCACTAATGCTACGAATATTAGGTCTACCCTTAAAGCCTTTCCCAAGTGATGGTTCACTCGACAGTGTCATCGATTTGTTAGGAAATAATGAAAGTAATCATAGTATCAGACAATTATCGGCAAGTCTTTCCCGAGTGATGGTTCTCTCGATAATGTCAGCGATTTGTTGGCAAACAGTAGTAAACCGTTTGATTTAATATAATTTCAATACTTTTAATAAAACAAAATTATTATAGCATTATATCAAATAAACCAAGTTATTTTATTGTTTTACTACTGTAGTACTGTCTAGTTAAATATTTAAACATATTTTAAACTAAATAAAAGTCATCATGACAACATACATTTACTGTAATATTGATATTTCATTAAAACTATTATTAACAATATAACTGTTAAATCAAAAAGTTAATGATTACCCGTAAGTGCTAACACATGTTTATACGATAAGTATGGGTTCACAACTGATTGCATGGGGTTATCCTATGATCAATGTGATGTCATTACTGTATTTACGCTAAATGTTACTAAAATGTATATTTTGTTAAAGAATGCAACTTTAATTACAAAAATAATATTATTTCTAAATGTATTTCTACTAATAAATTGCAGTCCAATAAGTAGTCCACCGATTCTTATAGTCATATCGTTTGATGGCTTTCGATACGATTATGTATCGCCAGAGTCGACGCCAACCCTCTATAAACTTCGTACAAACGGAGTGAGCGGTAAGTAAAACATGTATTTCCCATCAAATCAAACATACTTTGCAATGCAAACCGCAGGTCACATGATATCAAACTATATCACCAAAACATATCCCAATCACCAGTCGATAGCCACCGGTTTTTATGAGGAGAACCACGGGATAGTATCCAACCATTTCTATGATCCCCGATATAACCAGACCTTTGACATCGATAAATCACCCGACTATTGGTGGACTGAATGGCCCGTCACACCTGTCTGGGTATACCACACATTCAAAACAACATCCCTTTCCTATTGTTTTGTTATAACTTTTAAAAGTTTTAATGTTTTATTCAAATCAATAGACAGTAAACCAATTGTACGGACAGTCCAGTGGTGTAATGCAATGGCCGGGCGCTCACGTCAGATACCGGGACCAATCGCCCCGTTACCTCCAAAACTATAACCACTCCATACCATGGAATACAAGAATTGATACAATGATCGGGTGGTTAACAGACGGCAGAGCACCGGCCAGTTGTGTATTTGCCTACTTTGATGAGCCCGACGCTACATCCCATGAATTCGGACCATTCAGTACTCAGACTTATAGTCA